TTAAAGAAACTGCAGCCGTATCTATATGGACAGCCCTTTTCACTACTCACGGATCACAACCCGCTGGTATGGCTAAACCGGGTGGCTGGGGACAATGCCAGGCTGCTGCGCTGGAGTTTGGCACTGCAGCCTTTTGACTTTAATATTCAGTACCGCCCGGGTAAACAGAATGGAAATGCCGACGGGTTGTCGAGACAAACTGACCTGGAAAAATGATCCGTGAGTCCCCGGACATCCCCAAGCCGATCCGTGTTGGATCAGGCTGTGTATGCCGGCTTATGGGCAAGGGGGAGCAGTGTAGCGGATGGCACTGGGCTGTCCTGCAAATGTCTTTGAAATAATTGCATTCGTGTGATCTGCTAGTTTTCTATGTGTTCTAAAAGCCTTGTATTCTTCTGATTGTTCGGTAGTTTCATCCCCTTAGTTTATTCGAATGAAAATACCGAACAACCAGACCTCCCCTGTGTAAAGTGTGTCCTCAATTACCCGTTGCAACATTGTTGCGAACGGGTAATTGACTAGGAAGTAGCCGTCCTTTGTTCTCGGGGGTGGCCGCCATTCGACAAACGAACACGTGGCGGCGGCCATTTTAAAACTCCCGAACAGCGGTGTTTTGCCGTCGAGTGTCTGGAACTAAAATCGGACACTCGAGTAGGCGAACACCGCTGAGACCTCCACAAACCTGGTCCGTTCGGTTCCAAACTACCGAACGGCCCCTCGTTCGGTAGATAGAAAATACCGAACGAGGGGATTCAGGCGAACCCTCCCTAGCATCTATAGCTAGAGGCTTTCGTGTATTTTGTTCCCTTATGCCAGGACCGACCGCAGGGCCCATTCGTATGGAACCGTATTCGGCTATCTCAGTTCGTGCGGTCGGTCATTTTATTCCCTCCATACATTTCCCGAACCCCTGGTCTGATCTGGTTGATTTTTGGATATGTTGTTCCCCCAGATCAGGGGTATCCGGGGATGTAGGATTTAAAGAGGTACCCCTACGTTTAGGGGTACATCCAGAAACGGGGGGAATTACTGTACTGGATAAGGGGATTATGATGCTGGCTGAGGGGAGGAGATGTGTGGGAGGTTACCAGGACAGGATTGGCTACTGTGATAATTACTGTAAATCCCTCCCTTGCATGGGAGCATGCTTTATAAGGAGACTGTGGATTAAAAGCTTTCAGTTCTGCTCCTGAAACTGTGTGTCGTCCAGTTATTGGGATTGCTGTGGGGATATTGCTGTTGTTTTACCTGCTGGAAACTTTGCCTATGGATTTATTATTTACTTGTTCCTGAGCCTCACTTGGATTATAAGCGGAGATAACCTGGGGAATATTGCATCTCCGCTACAGGGACTATATTTAAAAGAACAAAAACTACCACAACAAGAGGACATAGTCTTAAATTAGAGGGACAAAGGTTTAAAAATAATATAAGGAAGTATTACTTTACTGAAAGGGTAGTGGATGCTTGGAATAGCCTTCCAGCTGAAGTGGTAGAGGTTAACACAGTAAAGGAGTTTAAGCATGCGTGGAATATGTATAAAGCCATCCTAACTATAAGATAAGGCCAGGGACTAATGAAAGTATTTAGAAAATTGGGCAGACTAGATGGGCCAAATGGTTCTTATCTGCCGTCACACTCTATGTTTCTAAGGAGTTTCATAATAAATGGTACAGGAATTTTAGTTTTTGTGATTATTGACAATAAAGAAGTAGAATGTTCACAATTTTGACTTTTCTTGACTTTTCTTTTTACTGTATCTAAGTACAGATGCAAATGACATGAGATTACTTTTATGGAAAGTTAAAATATATGTGAAATACTTATATTATGGTTTTCAACTTCAATTAAACATCTGGCGATGTTAGTGGTTCTACAGCAATTAGTGTAATATTATTTAGAAACAGGCATGTATTTGGTTTATCGACACAGTTGCCAGGCAACTGAAGAATTGGAAGACATAACTAGCCAGCCTGCTTGTCAAGTAATATATATCAATTCTCACCATAAATTATATTTATTAGTAGATTGCAAGTATTACAGTCTGTAGTGCGATAGATACTGTTCAACTTTTGAAAGCAAATATATGTTTTAATTCATCTGTTATGAAAATAAGTCTAAGAAAATTGCTTTTCATTGTAGCATAATACATTCCTGTGGTTGAAACACCAATAAATTTATTTTTAATCAGATATTCTTTGGGCAATATATACTAAGTAGAACTCTTTCCAAGAATGTTGCGTTTCATTAGACACAGCATTTGCACATAGTTTGGCATGAGCTAAAAAAGTCATTTGCAATTAAGAGAGACTCGTACTCATTAAACACAGAGTTCACTCTGTTGTGGGGTTTAAAACACCTATCCCTGTTGCCCCCAGGGCTGCTCACAGTATGTTAAAGGACCACTAAATACACTCAGACCACTAAATCTCAATGCTTTATATTCTGGTCTGCAATGTCTATAAAAGTGCCTTCCTTCTCCCATGTCATAGCTCCATTTTTCACGTGTGCTTGATGTATACACAAAACTCTGCAGTTTTATTCTTCAAAATACATGGTGTCCCAATACCACCACCAGAAGTGTGGGCCATGGGCTGTATCCCATAAAAAATGACCAGCAACTTATTCTTTTTTCTTCATTAACAAAGTACATGGTGTCCAAATATCATCACCAGAAGTGTGAGGCACCAACTGTATCCCATAAAAATGATTGCATGTTTTCATGTAATTAGGGTATCTAAGGTATCACTGTAAAGTTCGGGTTCGTACCGAACATTACTATTTTTGGACCCAGAACCTGAACCCGGACATTTCAGTAAAAGTTCGGGTTCGAGTTCGGTGTTCGGCGATTTAATGGCGCGTTTTGAAAAGCTGCAGGGCAGCCAATCAACAAGCGTTTGACTCGTGTGCCCTTACAAGCCATCACAGCCATGCCTACTAATGGCATGGCTGTGATTGGCCAGTGCAGCATGTAAGCTGGAGTCACATGAGCTCTTATTAGTGTAGGGAGAGGATGCTGCAGCTGTGATGGACAGATTAGGAAAGAATTCTGGTGTTGAATCTGCAAACTACAGCGATTATTTTTGTGGGTGCTATACTACGTTTTTGTACCCTGCCCAGAGCCCAGTGCCACAGAGAAATAAGCAATCAGTCTGTTTGTTAGGTGGGCACTTGCAACTGCATGTGTGCCGGGCACATTACTTTAATCCTGTTCTGGTAGCTCAGTGGGCAACATCTAGGCGTTTTTAAATACAGCTGTGACATTACAGTTTGCCAAATTCAAATTTTTTTGGTGCTAAAAAGTAAATTTGTGGCGTGCACTTCATATCTGAGAGTCAAATAGAACCATCAAATACTGTGGTTACATCGCACTTTGAAAAATAAAAAATTTTTTGGTGCTAAAAAGTAAATTTGGGGCGTGCACTTCATATCTGAGAGTCAAATAGAACCATCAAATACTGTGGTTACATCGCACTTTGAAAAATTCGATTTTTATGGGTGCTAAAAAGTAAATTTGTGGTGTGCACTTCATATCTGAGAGTCAAATAATACCATCAAATACTGTGGTTACATCGCACTTTAAAAAATTCACACTTCTTTGGTGCTAAAAAGTAAAATTGGGGCGTGCACTTCATATCTGAGAGTCAAATTGAACCGTCAAATACTGTAGTTACATCGCACTTTAAAAAATTCAAATTTTTTTGGTGCTAAATAGAACATTTGCGGCCTGCGGTGCGTTTCTTGCAGTCCAATAAAACCCTTAAATATTACTGTTACATTGTTGGTTTAAAAAAAATCACACTTTTTTGTGTTTAAATAAAACATTTGCGGCGTGCGGTGCATTTCTTGCAGTCCAATAAAACCCTTAACTACTACTGTTACGTTGTTGGTTTAAAAAAAAATCACACTTTTTTGTGCTAAATAGAACATTTGCGGCCTGTGGTGTATTTCTTGCAGTCCAATAAAACCCTTAAATACTACTGTTACATTGTTGGTTTAAAAAAATCACACTTTTTTGTGCTAAATAGAACATTTGCAGCCTGCGGTGCATTTCTTGCAGTCCAATAAAACCATTAAATACTACTCTTACATTGTTGGTTTAAAAAAATCACACTTTTTTGAGACAGTGAAGTAACTGTATTAATTACGCCTGTTACACTGTTGTGTGACCTTTAGAATTTTTTTCTCTTTAGGACACCGGCACTGCCTTACTGTCAGTGAACTTAATTGTTGACTATTGGTGGTTACATTGTCGCCTGACATAAACCATCTGTTAGTTTGGGCCTGAGGCAGATAGCAGTTTGGCGCATGTCCTTCCGCCACCGAGGATTGCAGGGCATTTCTCTTTGCCTTCTGTTGCCTCCTCCTACTACTCCGCTTCCTCCTCCTCTACCACCTCCTCATCCGGTCAGCGTAACACCTTCACCACCAACTTCCGCACAGCCAGGGGGAAATGACAGCAGGCTGTTTTAAAACTCATATGTTTGGGGGAAAAACCCCACACAGTGCAGGAGCTGTGGACGGTTGTGGAACAACAGACCGATGAGTGGTTGTTGCCACTGAGCCTCAAGCCCGGCCTGGTGGTGTGCGATAATGAGCGAAATCTCGTAGCAGCTCTGGGCCTAGCAGGTTTGACGCACATCCCTTGCCTGGTGCATGTGCTGAATTTGGTGGTGCAGAAATTCCTGAAAAACTACCCAGATATATCAGAGCTGCTGCAGAAAGTGCGGGCCGTCTGTGCGCGGTTTCAGCGTTCTCACCCTGCTGCTGCTCGTCTGTCTGCGCTGCAGCGTAACTTCGGCTTTCCCGCTCACCGCCTCATATGCGACGTGCCCACAAGGTGGAACTCCAGCAGCAGGCGATAGTGGAGTTTCAGCTGCAGCACGCACGGGTCAGTCGCTCTGCACCAGACTTGCCCTCCAATACATCTTCGTTAAAGGATTTAAAGTGTACTCATTCCAATTACAGGGCCTTGAAAGAGTCCTGTATTGTTATTTATCGTCACTACCTCCCCGCATCGGGAGTGGGTAATTTGCACGCCTGCTGCCTTCCTTGGATGTGGTAGCTGTTTCTCAGGCTCTCTCTCCGTAATCGAACCCTGATTCCCCGTTACCCGTGGTCACCATGGTAGGCGCAGAATGTACCATCGAAAGTTGATAGGGCATACATCCGAATGTGTCGTTGCCGTCACGGGGACGTGTGATCGGCCCAAGGTTCTAGAGTCACCAAAGTGCCTGCGCAACGACTGCCGAGTTGCACCCATTCTAACTTTTGCTGATTAATGGGTGGCCACCCTGCTGGATCCCTGTTACAAGGACAACATGCCGTCCTTAATTCCCTCACTGGAGCGTGATCGGAAGATGCGTGACTACAAGCGCATGCTGGTAGACGCGCTGCTGAGGGTATTCCCAACTGACACCGGGGGCTCAGTGGAAGCACAAGGCAAAAGGCAGAGGAGGAGGAAGAGGTCGCCAAGGCAGTTGGGGCACCTCCAGCACCTCAGAAGGCAGGGCTAGCATGGCCGAAATGTGGAAAAGCTTTGTCAGCACGCCACAACAACCAGCACCACCATCTGATATGGAACGTCTTAGCAGGAGGCAGCATTTCAGCAACATGGTGGAACAGTGCGTGTGCACATGCCTACACGTACTGACTAATGGGTCTGCCCCATTCAACTTCTGGGTCTCCAAATTGGGCACATGGCCTGAGCTTGCCCTTTATGCCTTGGAGGTGCTGGCTTGCCCTGCAGCCAGTGTTTTGTCTGAACGTGTGTTTAGCACGGCAGGGGGCGTTATCACAGACAAGCGCAGCCACCTGTCCACAGCCAACGTGGACAAGCTCACGTTTATTAAAATGAATCTAGCCCTTTCCAGGACTTTTTTAGAGCCATTTTAGTGCCCAAAAGTTTGGGTCCCCATTAACTTCACTGGGGTTTGGGTTCGGGGTCAAAATCGGGTCAAGTTCGATGCCAAACTGGAACTTTTTGCCGATGTTCGACCGAACCCTGCGAACCCTAACATCCAGGTGTCCGCTCAACTCTACTTAGGATTCCATCAACTAGTCCTCTCAGTATCGGTGGCTATAGTCATGCATTATGTACAGTAGCTTCCAATATGACCTTCACTTGTGTTGCCCTGTTGGTTGATGCAAAACACATCCATGACGTATGCTGTGACCCGGGACTTGAATGACCTTGTTTAAAAGAAAGGTGAAGTTCAGAGACCCTGACTCTTCACTAGGACATAACATATTGGAAAAGAGAGTATTCAAACTGCTTAAAAGAAGGGTTAGGGTTAAGTAATCTGAGAAAACAAAAGTAACAATGGCATGAGAGATTCTAATCAATGTTAAAGTGAAACATATTTATTTTTATTTGCCCAAACTGATAACTGAAGTAATAAAAAGTTAGCAATATGTTTTTTTTTTTTTGTTATTAATAATTGTGATTTACTATATATATTGTCTTCTTGCCTGTCCTGGCATAACTGGGCCATACAATGCAAATTAAGATGAACTATTTTTATTACACCAAAAAATAGGTAGTCAGCATGCAAGGTTTTGTAAAAAAAGAAATTTAATAATATGAAGATACCACAATCAGTCAACGTTTCAGTTCATCTCATCGAACTTTCATCAGGACATACTATCTGATACTACGATACCATGTCCTGATGGAAGTACGATGAGATGAACTGAAACGCTTACTGATTGTGGGATCTTTGTATTTTTAAATTTCTTTTTTTACAAGACTTTGAGTGCTGACTACCTATTTTTTGGTGTATATTGTGCAGCCGAGCACCGGGCAGAAAGACTGGGAAGCTGGAGTGCAAAACCAACAAACTATATCTGTTTTTGTTACAAATAGAACAACAAAAGATGAGTGAACACAGATAATGTTTGGTGCTAGAGAACTCAATATAGCATTTAATTGGTTAAATAAGGTTACATATTAACCCAAAAGCAGCATTTGATGGGTTAAGGGGACAAAGTGCATATAAGTCCAGGTGTATTTTTTGATGGGCTGATGGTAGGAATCATAAGTGAACCCAGAAATAGAATTTGATGGATTTGGAGTAAAATGTATGAGTGAACCACATGTGGTCTTTAATGGGTTTAATGTACATTTAAGAGTGAACCTATATGTGGTATTTTATTGGCTAATGTTAAAGGTACAATGTGGGCTCAGGTACTGTGACAGAACCATCTGTCTGCTGGATTTTTGCCCGTTCGTCTGTTTGTCCCCGTTCGTATGAATGGCTGGTTTCTATAGCCCAGCCATTCGAATGACTCTTTTTCCCGAACAAATCTGCCGAACGAACGGCCACCCAAGTGAGGAGTGTGCTGCAGGTTAACGAAGTGATCACCATTATAACGTTGTGGTTAACCGCAGACACTTCTCAATTAAACCGAACTCAGGGTGGTCGTCGTTCGTATGTCGACCACGAGGCAGCGGCCATTTTAAATCATGCGAACGCTCAGCGGTGTTTGGCTCTATTTCTATGGAACTGAAAACGGACACTTTTTCTGCCGAACACCGCTGAAACAAGGGAACGCCTGGCTGCCTCCACGAAAGCATGCGAACACCGGCCGTTCGGGAGATTGAGAGCATACAAAAGACTTAACCCAGATAGCCCACCCATGGAGTCATTCGTATACCGAAAGACTGTAAGAACTTTGACTCCATGGCGATTGAACTATGTGTGTGGGATCTGAGCGCTATTCGCTAATAATATGCACTCAGATCCAGGCTATCTGGGGACATGTAATACGAATGGGAAATGTTCAGTTTTCATGTAGTTATGCATTTTTATGTCTTTTATTATTTTATGTTTAAAATGGCGACTGTCCTTGTCCTGGAGTTAATTGAGTTACTTGGTAATTAACTCCAGGACAGAGGGGAGGGAATCAGAATGCACTGTGGGTAAGAGATGTGACTGTGTGTCAGAAATGTCCTTCTATCTGTCTGTAATTTAAGTCTTCCATTTGGTCCCCTAGGGGAGTGTCCACCAGGTGGGAGACCTGCATAAATACGGGCAGGTAGCCCACAGTAAAGCCAGATCTTATTTGACCCTCAATGCGGAGCTTCTGTCTCGTTATTGGGGGGATTTCTTCTTCACGGTTAGAGACTGCTGGATGGAACGAAAGCCGCTTTGGGGATATTATTGTTCGACGGTTCCTAGCAGTTCGTATATTGCCGTTCGGGAGTTTGGAGCCGTTCGTGGATTTCGATCGGGAGATTGTTCCCCTGCATTTGGTTCGTGGGTTACAGAGTAAGCGAACAGAGACTGTACTGCAGCCGGGGAAGGTTTACTAAACGGCGGTTTGGCTTAAAGACACGGGAGGTGTCTTAACAATTGGTGGCAAGCGACGGGATGAATCCTACAGCATTGGAGGTCAGCTACGAGACATGCAGTACGAGGAATTAAGGCGTGCTACACTTAAGGACATATTGGAACGCCGAGGAAGGTCAGCAAGCAATTTAAAGAAACGGGAGATTATTGCTTTGCTAATGGAGATGGATGCAGCAACGGGAATGGAAAGAGTCAACGTGCCCAGTACCTTGGATTTAACACCCGAGGAAATACAATTCAACCGGGCAGTACAAATAAGGCTGGCACATTTTGGCCCCAACCCCTCAGCTGACATCGTGGTTCGTGTGCAGGCAGCAGTTGCAGCACAACAGGCGGCTCGGGAAAGAGGAGCTGCAGCAGCAGAGGTACCTTATGACAATAATGTGGTTGCCAGAAAGAAGGTACCTTTTGCTGCATTTAAAAATTTTGTGGAAACAGAGGGAGAGATTGATGGATTTTTGGCAGACTTTGAGAGGCAGTGTGCGCTACATCAGGTACCTGCAGATGAATGGGTCACCATCCTCTCTGGGAAATTATCTGGCCGGGCTAGTGAAGCTTTTCGGGCCATCCCAGAGGAGGAGATCACCAGCTACCGGGCTGTGAAAGAGGCGCTCCTAGCCAGGTATGCAGTGACCCCAGAGGCGTACAGGCGGAGGTTTAGAGAAACCAACAAGCTGGTTGGGGACTCTTATGTGGAATGGGCCTGCAGAGTCCATCGTACCGCAGCCCACTGGATGGCTGGATGCCAAGCGGTAACTGGGGAGGAGGTGTTACAAGTGTTCCTGCTGGAGCACTGCTTTGATAGACTACCTGCTGGGGTCCGGGAATGGGTCAGAGACAGAAAACCCTCTACCCTACCCGAGGCTGCCCGTCTGGCAGACGAATACACGGATGCCCGCAAGTTGGATGGTACAGCTGCTAAAGCCCCTGCCAGACTGGAGTATCGACCAGCAGTAACACCCGCTCCTGCAGTCTACCAACCCCCAGTACACCGTACCCCAGCCGCACCACCAGCTAACAATTATATGCAACCAGCCCGATTTAATGCCCGGGAGTACTCCCAACCCATCCGGTGCTATGGGTGCAAGCAGTTGGGGCACAAGCGTCCTGAGTGCCCACTGAACAGTGCCAACCAGGCTCAGTCCTGGAGGAGACCAGTTAATGGAAACCAGCGCCCACCTCAGCCTGCTGCTCACTGCCTAGAGCAGGAGGAATTTTGGGGCATTCTACACGAGGCAGACCCAGTGCAAGCAGCTCACCAGGATAATCGCCAGCAACATCGGCAAACTGTGAAGCTGAATGGCAGAGTGGTGAATGGGCTGAGAGACACAGGAGCCACGATGACACTGCTCCAAAAGAACTTGGTCTCAGAGCATCAGCACACTGGGGACACTGTGGCAGTAAGGGTAGCAGGGGGTGCCGTGTTTCGCTTACCTGTTGCCCGAGTACATTTGGATTGGGGAGTGGGCGCTAGGCATGTGGATGTGGGGGTGATGAAGGACTTGCCCGCCGATGTTCTTTTGGGAAACGATTTGGCCCCTTTGGTTTCAGCCTATGCTCCGATGGGCCCTGCAGACGTGAACCCAGTGACCACCCGTGCCCAGACCCGTGCTGCCGGAACCAGCCCACTTGCTGACGAGACCCAGGTAAGATCTCCTTCCCCGACTGGTACCCCAGATCAGGTTCCCTTAAGCTGGGATTCCCCAGAGGAGTTTGGGAGGGAAACCCGGGCAGATCCGACCCTCCAAAGATACAAGGACAGGGCAGATGCTGGGGAGGAAGGAATAGATGGGGAACGGTATGAGTGGGTGGGGGACAGGTTGTATAGGATCCCTAAACCTTCCCAGAAGAGTGTTGCCACTCCGCCGAATCGCCAGTTAGTGGTACCTGCAAAGTACCGGCAGGAGATTCTGCGGATAGGGCATGATGTTCCTTTAGCTGGACATCTAGGGTCCCGCCGCACAGCCTATAGGATTTCACAGAACTTCTTTTGG